GCTTATTGCGATTATTATAGTCGTGTTATTGCATTTCGCTAACGGGCTGGTCACGTGGCGTATTCCACGTTTTCTTCATGTAAGTAATATCTAAATAGGAGTGAGTTACCCATAGAATGTTTTTTGGAGACAGATTCCCTTTGGGAGATTACCCACAATTCTAAAGAGCCTTTCTGGCAAGCTCAGCATAGGTAGTCGTAATTAAACAGGGGGCGGCATAATCGGTATTGCACACGGGCGATCAAACAGCTAGCGGCGCCCCTGCATGTATATTAGATAGAATGAAAATTGACGAGACACCTGAAATATCAGAGCGTCGCCGAGGCATGTATTTTTCGGACGAGACATTTTCCTTATAATACCGAGTACTAGACCATTGTAATTTTATCAAATATTGACCGGACATTTGCATATCTGAGTGTCTCTGTACGAGAACGACCTGCGTCGGATAAGAGGCATGAAAGCTTGCTTGGCCTGCCTTGGCAAGGTATCACCATTATAGTTCAGCGTCGAAAGGACCACTGGTGTGCTCGTTTTTTGCACTTTTTTTTTGAACTCGTCGTAACATCTACTCAACTGGACCTTTTCGGATTACTTCTAACGACTTTTTCCATCGAAATACAGACAGGATTCTCTGTAGGTACGTTATTTTTGATTTTTCGAAAAATTTTGTAATCTTTTGTCGGGAGCTCTACTTATAGCGTCGGCTTGTAGTTACTACCCGTCTGTCAGGGTACCACACTTACAGCGTCGGTCGAACTCTATTAAGATAGAGTAAGGTTGCCTAATTACAATCGTAGTTCGCGATATTTTCGTATTGTTCGTTAAATACTTCATGGATCTCCTGGAGAAAGGCGTCCTGGAAATCATCTCCAATGGACTAAGCATTATAATGCACGCTCTTTCCGCGAATTCACACGGTTCGGTGTCTGTCAGCAACAGGAAAAGTATAAGGCAAGCTGCATTAGACATGCATGCAGCGGCCAATCACCTTTACGGTATGGTTCTCTTACTAAGGGTTGAGGGCAAAGAGGAAAAAGCCAGCTTTGCGGAAGTGGTAAAGAAAAACAGACCAATTAGAAGCCAGTCTACGAAAATAATATCTGAAACCGTAGCTAAGAAAGGGGAAGAGGCTAAACTCCAGGATATAATAATAGAACCTATTACAACTGATGAGGGGGAGGCCTCGGTCTGGAGGAGGTAATGGGGAAGATAAAAGAGAAAATTGACCCAGCCAATTTAAATATAGGAGTTAAAATGGTCACTACATTACCAAGCGGCAGCATAAAATTTAGAGTTAGATCTGAACAAGAAGTCAATAATCTAAATGATGCAATAGAAAAACTTCCAGAGATAAACGAAAAAGTCAGAATAACTTGTGGCCGCCAGCGCAAGACATCGGAACACTGTCTGGCAACACTTGCTAAAGAGAGTAGCTGGCAACGTCAAAAAGAAAAGGCGCGAAAGTTCGTTGGATTTGTCCGGGTGTTGCCCGAGGATGTCGGTCACAGTTCTGACCTTTTTAATAAAGTTTTTTTGTTACTGTTCGTGTTTGACTGCTTAATGTTAATTCCAAACACCAGTAGGATCGAATGACAAAGTGGTGACCCGAACGTGATCCGATTAATGAACTACCTGGACTTTCGACTGAATTGGATAGCGAACAACTCTGTGTCTATGATGGAACTTTTTTTACAGGATATGCAGGTATGATCAGTTTCTAAATCGTAAATTCAATAGGAAGACTAGGAGTACGTGACTTGGGCTAAGCCTTATCCAAGACTATCCCGCTTTCCTTGTAGCCGCATAGTTAAGCGCCCGGAATGGCGGAACAGAACGAGTTTGAAATCGGACGTATACAGGCAAAAATGCCTATCTTCACTAAAACCAACATCAAATTATTTTTTGTGCAGCTAGACGCGGCCTTTGCCATTAATCGGATTACAAGTGAGAACACTAAGTACAACTATTTAATCAATTCCCTGGACGCGGAGATTCTATCTAATGTTAGTGACTTAGTATTTGACCGTCCAGCCGAGGCTCCGTTTTCTAAACTTAAAGATCGGCTCCTCGAAATTTTCCAGAACTCCGCTGCTAAAGAGGCTAAAATTCTGCTTTGAAGATCTGACGTTAGGAGATCAGAAACCCAGCGTTTTACTCCGTAAAATGAGGGAGCTTTCAGCGGGCAAAATTACCGAAGAATTTCTTAGAAACTTGTGGCTCCAACGTCTCCCCAAAAATATTCAGACCGTATTGGCTGTTAGCAGTGATGAACTAGACAAGCTAGCCATCCTTGCTGACAAGGTTGCTGAACTTACAGAACCAACCCAACTGGCCAGCATCAACTTGAAAGACGAAAATCCCGTAATCAAAAACCTTGAACTGCAGATTTTAGAACTCACAAAGAAGGTTGCAGAACTTAATGTATCGCGTACTGCTCGTCCCCGTTATCGTAGTAGAGAGAGAAACCGACATAACCCGAATTCGAGGCACCGCGTTAGTTCACGCTCTCGGGGAAGAAGCCTCAGTCGTCAGGGATATTGCGGTTCGGGTCCTGGCAGGTGATAAATAAAGGGGAGGCTAACAGGAGGCCTAAATGTGACATAATAAAAAGGAACAACAATATCCAAATGGCCTTAGTACAAGAGCTCAGCTCCAATAGGATCACACTGCGGCACTCCACCATGGGCCGATTGATTTTATCCTCTGCTTATACTTCTCTCGATGAGGATGTAGAATGTATTAATGGGCTGAGTGAAGTATTAGGGAAACTTGGCAACAAAACCTACATCATTGCTGGTGACTGCAACGCGAAATCTTCCCTATGATTTCATGAGGAGGAGGATGCGAGGGGCCGGCTCATGGAGGATCTGATGAATGCATATGACATCTCTTCTATGAACATTACTGATACCCCCACCTTCTTTAATGGAAGGGCTAAGAGATGGACAGATGTCTCCCTCACCACTAACAGTGCAAGTAACTGCTTTCATCGATGTGAAACCCTCCTTCTTGACTCGGCAAGTGACCATAGATATATCCTATCGGAGCTCAACGGCCAGGGGCAAATTATGGATATCAACCCTAAACACTTTAACAGGAAAACAAATTGGGAACTGTTCAGATCCCTTTACGCGACAAACACGGAGGAACTATGCATTCGAGCCATTAAAGGATATCCAGACGATTAATAACTACATAAAGCATATTACTGACTCAATAAATACTGCAATAAATTTCTCTTCAATAACGAAAATCGGGCCCACTAAAAGGACTCATTGGTGAAATGACTTGTTAGAAAACGAGAAACGCAAAGTAAGAAAACTTCGAAGGAAGTGGAACAGGACCCAAAACCCTACTTTAAAAGAGAGACTTAAAAAAGATTATATAGAAGCCATCAAAGAGTATAAAACAAATATCAACAAATGTAGGAGTATATAGCCTGGAGAAAATACTGTAGTGAACATTTCAAGGATCCATGGGGGCAACCCTACAAAGTTGCCTTTAGGAAAAACACTAGAGCCACTATACCAACCATAGTTAAAGACAGCACTACTAGTACCAATTATGACATCGAAGACAACATCAAGAACCTTTTAGAATTCCACTTTCTGGATGATAATATGGAAGAGGATGACGTCTCCCATCAACAAATTCGCACAAAAATCGCTACAACTTACTCAAGCTTACAGGATAGCTGGTTCAACTTTTCAGAGGTTGGAAAAGCGATTACCACTCTGGCCTGTAGGAAGGCACCAGGGATTGACGGCGTCACGGCAGAGATGGTCAAACATGCCTTTAAAGAAATCCCCATATCCCTAGTAATTTTGTATAATAGCTGCCTCCAACTAGAGTACTTTCCGGAGAAATGGAAAGTGGCCAGCATTGTCTTCATTCCGAAAATAGACAACCCATCCTCTGTCCAAGACTACCGCCCCATTAGCCTTCTCCCGGTACTTGGCACGGTACTGGATGGCCTCATGATTAACCGTATCAACTGGCACCTAACCAGTCACAACTTACAGAATAATCACCAATACGGTTTCCGGCCTGGAAGATCTACAACAACCGCTATTTACAGGGTTACTCAATTTATAGAGGAAGCTTGGGAGAGACACCAACATGCCCTATTAGTCAGTATTGACTTCAAAAAAGCGTTTGACCACCTTTGGTGGCCAGCAGTTAAAAATAGTCTGAGGAACTCTGGTTGCCCTGTCAACGTATACGAACTTTTAAACAGCTACTTAACGGATAGGAAGGCAGGGCTCTTTTCTGGGGGCATGAATATTGTCAAAAATGTTAATAGGGGCTGCCCCCAGGGCTCCCGGAGTGGTCCAGGGCTCTGGAACCTCACCTACGTTTCCTCAATTCATAATACGGAGGAAGTGCAGATCCAGGGCTTTGCTGATGACACTTTATTGCTGCTTCGTCACCGAAACTGTGATGTCCTCGAAAGGAAAGGCAACGAAGTTCTCGACGAAATCAAAAAATGGTGTCAGCTAAATAAATTACCGATTAATTACAACAAATGTGAGGCCCTGGTATGTACGAAGAAATCGAGAAGGAAGCAGCTTCAAAGGCCCCTGTGCATTTATATGGACAAAATTAAAGTAACATCACACCTCAAGTACCTTGGTGCTCTACTGGACTCAACCATGAGCTGGAACCGCCATATAGAGTTAGTTTGCCAAAAGACAAAGCAAAGGACAAATATGCTTTGTCAGATCGCCAGAAATACATGGGGCATTAGCGCAAAGCACTGTGCTATGATCTACATGGGCGCCATTGAGCCTTCCCTACTGTACGCGGCTCAGATTTCGGGCAAGAGGGCCTCTATTGTTCATAACAAACGCCGTCTTTTATCGGTTCAGCGGGGATTCGCCATTAGGACTTGCAGGGCGTACCGTACAGCACCAACGGACGCCCTTCTTGTGATTGCCAACCTCCTACCAATTCACATCAAAATAAAAAGTCTCTATTGGAAATGGAACATCCTAAACATGGAGGATGTCACTGAGGAAAACATAGTGACAGCAATACAAAAAGGGGATTACCCGAATGACAGTCGTGAGCTTTTATTAAACATCAAACGGTATGGCATCGATAAGTATTATCCGGGCCAAGGAATTCTGTACCACCCAGCGAATGATATCAAAAGCTGGAACCACTATAGCAACAATGAAGAGGAGGACAGCGTATACAAATGGCATGTATTTACGGATGGAGCCAAGAATGAGAAAGGCACGAGAGCTGCTTTTGCTATTTATGATTCTAAAACGGGGAAGACTGTCCACGAGGAGTATTATAAGCTGCTCAGCCACTGCTCCAATAACCAAGCGGAGCTGTGGGCGATGAATAGAGCTCTAAACACCATCACAAGCAACATTAACAAATATAAAGGTGGTATTAAGTTCCATGCCGATAGTTGCTATGTACTCAGTACTTTAAAAGACAATAATAGGCACTTAAAAACTGGCATCAACACAAAGTTTTTAGCCCACAATCTGGGAAAACGCAAAAAGGTTGCCTTTTGCTGGGTACCCGGCCATAGTAATATCCGTGGTAACGAGAGAGCCGATGAGCTGGCCAGCAAAGCCACAGGTCTGAATTTAGCGCCTACTTACGAAAGCTACCCCATTTCTTACATACACAGTATAATCCAGGAAAACAGTATGACTATATGGCAAAATGAATGGGCATCATCCTCTACGGGAAGAATGACTTTTAACTTTATCCCTGACATTAAGAAAAGGCAGAATATGCATCATATTTCTCCCTCATACCCTCTAACACAGTGCATGACCGGTCACGGTAATCTCCCAGCCTATCTTCATCGGATAGGCAAGAAAGACAGCCCGAACTGTGAGTGTGACAAAATAACCCTTGGGGATGCTATGCACACCCTTCTCGACTGCCCTCTTCATAACAAAGCAAGAGAGACCCTCATTACCTTCTGCCTCCATCATGGCCGCCTGAAATAGATTTCTTCTGCAAAACCAAAGAAGCCTTCAGTCAACTTACCAAATTTTTGGACAATTGCAATGTCTTTCATCACACCAAGTGATATTTGTACTTAGAGATGCTCTGGTTTTATCTATGAGCCCTCGCCACTACCCAAAGTAACCAACCTCATCACTGTTTGTTTAGTTTTAATTTAAAAATGTGTATTCTCTATTGTATCAGCAAGCCTTAATCAACAGCTGTAAATACGCGTTACTTCTTGTATATGCGCCTCGGCTAGCCCGAAGGCTTCTTTGTACATTTTACTGTGTCCTATTTAAATAAATGAATTGCATGTCTCGTTTGGGACCCCGCCGTCTCCCTCACTCTCTTTCCTTCTTATCCTCCCATTCTTTAACCCTTCTAACCCCTACCTCCTTCCTCCCTTCTTCTTTTCCTTCCTTCCTTTTCTAAAAGGCTAAGTCTACGGACAGCCTTCTAACTGTAATCTTGTGGTGAACGGTGGGATTCCCTCGGACATGACATTTTTCTCGTAATACCGAGGACTAGACCTTTTCACACTTATAACGTATGACCGGACATTGAATCTCAGAGAGTCGCTGTGGCCGGCGACGGGTGAGCGGTGGGATTCCCTCGGACATGACATTTTCCTTGCTATACGGAGGACTAGAGATTTCACACATATAAAAGTATGACCGGACATTGAATATCTGAGTGTCGCTGTAAGAGCGACACTCAGATATTCAATGTCCGGTCATACATACCTGCCTTTTACCGGCGACGGTAAGAGGCAGGTATGTATGTTTTATTACATTTATTTACATTAATTAATTGTATTAAAATAACATAAGTTACGTCTTCTGATTTTGCTGAGCATTATTAGGATTTAAAAACACTCAGTAAATATGACGTTGAATGCAGCATAATAATATACATTAAGTGCAAAATTGTACAATGATGAGAGGGCGACAAAGATATTTAAACAATGGTAGATACTTGGTAATTAGTTAGAAGGTAATATATACAGGTGTAATATATATTCGTACAAGTAAAAATTTCATGAAAAAATAAGATAATTTAAAATATACAGTAACAATTAAAAGTAACGAAGATAAAATAAAATTAGAATCACAACAATTATGTGCAAGGTAACAAATTATTATAGAAGCGAACAGCAGAAGTTAAAAGATATTATAGATTATACATGTCATATAGAAATGAGTATACAGTAGAACCTCGATTATCCGCCCCCCGATCAACCGACCCCTCGGTTAACCGACCGTCCTAGTCGGCAAATTTCAAATGTCCGCTAGTGATGTGGCACTACAATATTTGGCTATGTCTTGGCTACTTTAATATTATTTTTACGTGTTTTAGCTGGCAACACTCATTCGACCATGAAAGGGAGCCAGTATTTAAACGAAGCTTAATTTTCTAATTTTTAACGATACAATAGCGACGATTATTATTTTAAAAAATTTTTGTTAGGCTTAACATCGATGAAAATTCAACGCAAAATAGGTTAATAGCGATATACTAATATACTAATTACATGGGATATAATAATATACTACACTAATAATGGATTTTTTCATACTTTTCGGTTATCCGACTTTTCAATTATCCGACCAACCCCAGTCCCCCAATTAGGGCGGATAATCGAGGTTCTACTGTATATACAAACTATGATATATAATAATAAGACAATATAGCATAAAGAAGTAACAATCATTTGCATTAAAGTACTTATGTTTCGGTTACAAGAAAATTCGTTAGTAGTTGAGCAATGGAAGTTGAACAATGTTCTCAACACCAGTGAGCTTCGCCAAGCATCTGTGCGTAATATTCCGACACAGTAAGATCCACCAGAAGTTGAAGGATTGTCTTCACGCTGCAGAATTTATATTCACTGGAAGTTGAAGAAACTTCGTTTACACCACAATTATTTCAGAGCAAGGAAATTACTGTAAATCACAGAAATTTCAACCACACAGCTATAAACCGGTAAACACCGAGACGATTATACCTAGACGATCACATCACAATGGCGCACCAGAATAGAACACATAATATAATACGCAAGTATACCACAATGCATGGATTGATGTAAAGTTGATGCAGAAAACAGTCCAGTAGAAAAATATAAGTTCTTTCCAGTTTCAGTAAAATCAATCAATTACAATAATTGTAATAACGTGTATTAAGTTCAAACACGAACTGTTGTAGCATGACAAATATTACCACAGAGAAACAGTGGCAGTGCGTCAAGTATATCTCCACCAGTAGAAACTACATTACCCAGAGTGTCAGCCACAAGAAAATGTACACAAAGATGCCAAGTATACTACTGCACCAACTAAAGTCCAGCAAACACAATAACCACCAATATGCTTTAAGTGGTACGGCGTTAACACAGTGTGCAGTCCAATTAGTAGTATACATTCCCACTAGTCACAGTAAAGTCCAGAAGAAAGTGAAAAAGAATTTCTTGTTAAGTGACATTTGTTCTGTTGATGTGCAATTATGACCATAAGGTGCAAGACCAAAAGTGAAAAGCCAGGAAACTATCATAATCTACAATCCGCTGCAGTCGAATTTTAAACAAACCACAAGATCGCTAAGTTTAAGTGAGGAGATCACCTCCAACACCAGAAGATTTAAACAAGAATAGGAAAAGCAGCAAAGGATACAAACGAGGAATCAAATTAATCCTTACCAAGTGTATACTATTAACAACGTGTGAATTTTCTAGAAAAGGACATTAAGAAATTGTTGTAACTCGAAAATACTTTTCAAATATCTGAACAAGTAAATTGTAAGTTTCTTTATCCGAAGTAAGGTCTTTAGCATCACACGGCCAAGAACGATTCTTACTGGTTAGAAGAGTGCGTAACTGATGTCTTTCAATCTCAGTCATGGGGCGTTCAAAAATATAATGGAAACTACTGTCAATGGTATTGCAAACAGGACATAGACTGTTATTACGCGAGGTAAAGCGAGCAAGATATGAATTAAAACGGCCATGACCGGTGTAAACTTGTGTAGAGTGGTGAGTAACTTCAATCCAAGTGTTCTGCAAAAATTTCAATATATCAGGAAAAAACTGTTTCGTAACTGAGGTGTTGGCATCCCAACTACGCTGCCACTCCACAAGCAAATCGTTCCAAAGGACCTCTCTTTCGGCAGTTTTGTTCAAATAATATTGTAACTGATAGAGATGTTCTGATCAGCCGCCGCCATTTTAGCAAGTTGATCCGCCCGATCATTGCCGTAGTCATTACAATGTGATCTCGTCCAATTAAAATAATACTCATTATCAGACTCAATCAACAGTCTTTGAATACTAAAGACCAGAGGATGAACAGACTTCCTTCGAATCGTAGAGAGAGAAGACAGTGAATCGGTAATGATTGCATTATTGAGAGCCCGTTCACACCACTCGATCTCCTGTAAAATAGTATATAACTCTGCTTGAAAAATGCTACAAAATGGACCAAGCCTAAGAACATTATAATAAATTTCAATATCGTTGCGAAACTATAAAACTAAAAAAAACAAAAGCAACGAAACTAGCACCAACATGATAGCCACACCTCGAACCATCAGTAAAAATTTTAATGGCGCAACTAGTAGAAGGAGCCTCGATGAATCTGATGTTAGTGTAGGGGCTAAAAGTGTCTTTATAAGGAATTTTTTCTCCCAGCTTTCCTCAGTGAAGGAGTTTGACATGGAGGTAAGATGATTACCACATTTGACTTTCCAAATTTTTTGTAAGTAGTTAATGTATTTATCAATAGGCGGCTTGCGAGCAAGTACTTGCAAGCTAGCATTAGCCGTAGTTCTGTATGCTTTGGTTATCATCAACAAAGCTCTACGTTGTGCCGAGATCAATTTGCGTTTTTGATGTACCTTATCTGCGGCAGAGCCCCAAATGACACAGCCATAAGTGAGAACAGGTAGAAAAATGCTATCATATATCGTTCCCATAGCCAGGCCATTAAGGCCCCAAAATGACCAAGCTTTTGCCAAGGTTGGCAACCTTGGCAAAAGCGTGCATAATGTGGCCTGTGTGCTTAGTAATATAATGAATACAGTTATTCCAGGACAGCCGATGGTCTAATAATATGCCAAGATATTTAAGTTCTTTCACCACCTTTAGACTTTTACCGTTCATCCTAAGAGTTGGCACACGTGCATATAAGTTTCGTTGTCTTGGCTTATTAAAGACAATAGCTTTACTTTTATTCGCATTAAAGCAGAGTTTATTCGTTATGCCCCATTCATATATCATGTTCAATGCACGATTCCCTTTGTATTCCAAATCAGCACGTGACTGCCCACCGAAAAGAACGAAAACATCATCCGCATAGGCAATCATGGCATCCTGCCCAAAGTCCTGGCAAAGAAATCTATCGAAAAGTAAGATCAAAAGTAAAAGGTCCTCAAACGGAGCCTTGTGGCACCCTCTCAAGACTTTACGTTGGAAAGAAAGATGGCCCACAGAAAAAGTTGCAATTCTCTTATCGAGATAGTCTTTAATAAGTTGATATATGTTGCTGGGGCGTTGTAAGATCCTAAGTTGATGAAGAACCAATGGCCACCAAGCAGAGTCGAACGCTTTACTAATGTCAAGACTCAGGCCTAAAACATATATGTTGTTTTCTAATAGGCTCCAAATCTTTCCTACAACCATTTCAATCGCATCAGTGGTAGACTTATGATGCCTAAAGCCGTATTGAAAGTTATTGAGTTTACCTAAGGATTCTAGGTGCCAAGAGAGAAACTTTATTAAGAAACTTTATAACTTTATAGAAACACTATAACTTTATAGCTATAAAGTCTAATGGAGATTTGTGCCCTCGACTTAGTTACGTTATCCATTTGTTGTAATACTTTATTATTATAATTTATTTGAAAAAAAAATATTATAATAACTTTTATACATTTATAAATTGTATATTTTTAATTTTGCATTTTATGATAAAATTTTATTAATTATTTCAAATAATTTGGAGTAAAT